AAAGAGGATTGACTTAATCAAATCATGCCTGCTAGCAAGACTGCATGAAACAATGACTTGCACATGTGAAAGCATCATTTTTATGACAGGTTAGGTATCATAAGTTCAATAATAATTTATCTTTTTATCTTTGAATTATCAATGTTATACAATCCATGGGCTGAACGCAGATATTTTGAATTAGGGCAAATAATCAAATCTTATACAAATCGAATACTTTATTTTTTATTTGAATGATTCATACTTGACTCGAAATAATGTAAATTTACATTTAAAAAATATTTCTTCATTAATATTTTTCTAATCATTTTCATCCATTTGATTTTGAATAGTCATTTTATTAATGTTTTATTCATCACAAGAAAATGCATATTTATGTTTAAAAATCTTATAATATATTTGATACAAACAATTAATTCAAGTAATCGAAAGGAAAAATATATAATTACTATTCAATACTAATAATCAATCAAATAAACACAATTCGTTAAATATAAATCAAATTGGATATAATAAGTTCATACACATTCTATATACACAGTTTGATATGAGATATGCAAATTTATGTTCAAATTACTTGAAAATTTGATTGGAGAGTGAAGATTTGTAGTAAATGTGATACTTTGTAGAGAAAATATATACAAATTTTAAAAAATTAGAAGAGTTAAAATTTTGTTAAAAGGTTTGAGAAAAAGAGTAAGAGAGAGCAAGAGAAAAAAGAAAAAATCAAATTATAGTAATTTTGCCCCCATTTGGTGGAAAATAAAATCAATTTTTTAGTTAATTTTGATCAAAGTTAAACAGTTATGGATTCCATGAAATTTGTTATTAAAATAAATTGTTAACTTTGATCTAAATTAAAATTGAGATTTCACAAAACACGATTTTATCAACAAAAAAAAATCTCAAAAGTTGGGGGGTCACGTGACCCCCAAGACAGAGACGGAGATAAGGGCGACCGCCCCCAACATTGTCCGCTGGTCCACTATTTCTAGTTAATTTGTAATGTATTTTTCAGTTTCGCCCCTACAAAATTTTTAATTTTTTTCCATTAATAAATAAAGAGGAAATTACATAATTTTAGGTGTGTGAAAATTGAAATTCAAAAATCAGAGACCAGGTTTCATTATTCAAAAATCGGGTATGAATATAACTATCTACACCCAATGCAATTCCAAACCCTAACCATTTCATTTTAATCTGCACCTCTTCCTGTAGCCGCCATATCCACCCACAAGGTCTCAAAAAATTGGATCATCTCTTCACTCTTTCCACCTTCACCATGTCATCTATAATCTTCTAGATCGGACTCAATCAAGTATCCTCGGGTCGGACCTCCCGTGTCGATTCATGAAGAATTGGGTCTCCAGCTTTTACTATGTCAAGGGTGACCTGTTTTTTCTCGCCCATGCCCGAAAACCAAATCGCCCGGGCAGTTGAAGTTGAGCTGTGATTTCTTCATAGGAGCGTCGTTGTCGAGAGGCGACGCTATAAGCACCGAAGCTCTGAAACGTTAGGTACGACTTCAGATCTGGTAATTATGGTTGGAGGTGTGGTGTGGTGTTGTTAGTGGTTGTTGCTTGGTGAATGAGGTTATGATGTTGGATCTGATGCGGTGGCGATGGTGTTGCTTCTGCTTTTGAAAAGGGTAGCCCATTAGAAGGTTTTATTGGTGGTTTTACAAATGGGGTAGTGGTTTGGTGGTGGTGTTTGGGATTTTCTTATGGGGTGGTGTTTATGGTTGTTGGATCTGTGTCCCTGTCTATGTTGTTGGTGGTGGGGTTTTGTTGGTAATGATGACGAACTGGTGCTAAAATGTGGTCACAAACTGGTGCTGAAAATTTGGGACGAGCTTTTGGTTGTGCGCTGAAAATTTGGGCCGATGGCTGTGGTAGCGGTGGTGGTTGTAGTGATGTATTTCTGTTAGAGGTGGATCAGGATCGGAGGTGGAAACGAGGTGTTGGTTAATTTGTGACCAACCATTTTGTTATGTATGACCTAAAAATTATATAATCTGTGATCGTGAAAGAATATGTGACCAACTAATTTGGAAATATGTGACCACGTGACCTACAATTTTTTTGATCTGTGACTATTAAATAATGTGACTAATTAATTTTGAAATCTGTGATCGACGAATAAATTGTGACCACTTAATTTGAAAATCTGTGACTTACGAATAAAATTGTGACCATTAATTGTATAATTGTGACTTAATTATATTTGATTAATAAATATTTTTAATTAATTACCTAATACC